TGTATTCTGCACATCTAGCAAATCACAGAGAGAGAACTCCTGCTCAGACTACTCCAGGACAGCTTAGGTCCAGCATTTTGAAGAACTGAAAGCATATAATTGGATGGGACCTCAAATATAAACTCATCCAATCTAGAATCAGGAAATCCTGACAGATTACCAACTAGACTCTTTAAAAACTCTCAAAGGAGAATTCAAAGCATTTTGTTCCATTGTCAAATAACTTGTGTCAGATTCAGCCGGCGTGGCACGGTGAACGCTGCTGCGCTGCTGCTCAGTTTCACCTAGTCAATTTCAGCACCCCAGGCGCTAGCGGTAGAAAGGGGAAGTTTAAACCGCAAACTGAATGGCAACAGGTGGCGGCGCTTAACTCCAACCGCAAGCGGATACATTGTATTGCCGCCGGCTTCCCTTAGGCGCTGCAGACAAAGGGAAGCGCAGTGGCTCGGAAGCACAGCAATCAACGCGCGATTGAGGATGCCCGGTTTCATGTGCAACAGGAAAGCCCAACAAAGACAACAACAACAACACAACCAATAAACAGCATTCAAGAAGACAAAAGAACCGGACTGAATCTGCCATTTGGGCGAGGGGGATTACGGCGGGTAATCTGTAACCAAGCAACGGGGTAAAGCGCGGGAACGGGGTAACTATAAAATACCATGCAAGCTGTGCCAAGCCAACCCTCGCTTTGTCTGTACCTACCTACGTTACGCTTTAGTAAACTTCTTTGCTGAACCCATGTGTCACGAGAGTTTCTTTGGAGCTGAATGGGGTAAACCTTACAACTTGCACCATCAGGAAGTTATCTGTTAATTTGAATCTGCTCCTCCCTCCCTCCCTCCCTCCCTCCCTTCCCCTTTCACATTAGTCTTGACTCCTGATGACTGCCTGGACTACTCCCTACAGTTTTCTTGGCAAGATTGTCAGAAGTAGATTGCCACTGCCATCTTCTTAGGGGTGAGAATGACTGACCCAAAATTACCCAGCTGGCTTCATGTCTAAGGCAGGACTAGAATTCATGGTCTCCCAGTTTCTAGCTGGGAACTTTAACCAAATTGTTCCTCAAGTTTGTGTCACAAACTCCATCACAGATAGTCCCCAGGTTAAGAACTAGTTCCATTCCCAAGGTCTGTCCTTAAGTTGAATTTGTATGTAAGCTGGAACAGTATTATTGTATAATACTGTATAAATAGTATTCTGTAATGAACTTGAACCATTGTGAATTTAACTCAAATTTTTGCTACAATATGCTCTCTTCTTAACTATGTAACCTGATATTTCTTAACTCAGGGACCACCTATATTTATGAAGCAGCCCTATGCAACTTAAAGATGGCTATAATATTTTATGTTAAATTCTGCACAGTAAGCATACCTAATACCTCACAAAAGGACCAAGGTCACAAATTAGTGGAAGTATCCCAATCTTCAAGAAGGTTAAAAAAAAAAAAAAGTAAGCAACTAACAACTGCCAGCTTGTTAGGAGTATCTAAAAGAGTGACAGAACATATCATTGAACAATCTGTTTCATGTCCATTCTTCCAACTTCAGGAAAAGCCCAAACTTCCCTCTTTCCAATTTACTGCACATTTTCATATTTTTTAACATTAGCAAAAAAACCATATCTCTTTGTACGTGTTTCTTATTGTTTACTTATGTGAAGCTGATCTCCTAAACAGCTCAATTCATAAAATCAAAACGCTTAACTCTAAGCAATGTATTTATGATCAGGATAAGGGTAACTATTAACAACAAATAGCATCAGCACAGGAATAGTTATAGTAGATTTCTAGAGAAATTAGCTGAAAAGCTTTAGGCATAATTTCTGGTTTCAAGATCAGAGTCCATATACCAGTTTCAATTGTCTAATATGGTTTCAATTGTCTAATATGGTTTCAATTGTCTAATACTATGGAGTCCTTGGGGTTCTCTGAGCTTGGTTGTTTTCTTGCAGATGTTTCGTTACCAGCTAGGTAACATCTTCAGTGCTGGCGGGGAGTGGGGTTTGCTCTCTGTTTATAAACAGTAGCTTGCTCTGTCAGTGTTGGTGGGGGAGCTGTTTTTTCCTTGGTAGTTCCTTCATTAGGCTGCTGCTTACTGCTGGATTATCTGTCTGAGTTGGTCGTTTCTTGATTATGGTATCATTTACTGCTTGATTGTCTGGTGTTAATCTCCGCTTATCTGGGTGTTGATTGTTTCCTTTTTATTGTCTCTTTTGAATAGTTTGTAGATCTTGTTTATCTCTATGTGTCTGTTGATGGCTGACTTGTCTGAATACCAAGTTTCCAGGAATTCCCTCATGTTTTTGGATTTAGCTTGGTCTAAGATGCTGACAGTTTCCCAG